CCAGACTGGGCTACAAGCTTTTTTTTTTAATCATACAGTCTGCATTATCATTTACTTATTTCAAATCACTTGTAATGTACTAAATATGTAAATTTGCCGTTTGTTTATATATATTTATCCAATAAACTTATGGTATACTAAATGTATTCTAGACAGAATGAGAACCATGAAGGCAGTAAAAATACACAAATAGTAGTTTTAAAGTAAGTAATTTATAAAGTATATTTTATTTTTCAGACTTAATTCTATGCAGTACTATCAAAACTTTTTAAGATATGTACTCAGACGTCTTGAAAATTAGGCATTTTCATATTTGCTACTCAATATATATAATGTTCCTGTCACTTCTTGTACAATTGGAATTTTACATTTCTCAAATTCAATATGCTCCAGAATATTTTTTTTAACAATGTAGGTCATAACAAAAGCTGATTTATGTATAAAGAGCTTTTTGAAGATATAATTAAGCATAAATCTTGGTATTACATTATGAAGAAAATAACAAAAATCCATAAAATGATGAATTAGAAAGATATATTCTTCTAATGAAACAGAACAGGAAGACAGCCCAGATAGTGATTGATCAGTTTTACAATTCTTTAGTACAAGTATATTTGAATGATAATTACTTTTGTTTGCAAATCCACTGTATGCTTAAAATTCCTTAATTATTAATACTTAATTCAAACAATAAAAACATTTATTAGATGACAATATAAGAGGTAGTAGAAAACCCATCAATATTTGTTAATTATGTATATTAAAAGTATTATCAGAATATACTAAAAACCATAAATAATTACTTCGTCATATTATTTTGTACTGTACCCCATACTTTAATTTTTTTTTCATAACTGTTAATAGTCATGATTACCAGTTGTACAAATACTTAGTTGCAAAAAATTCAAACCTGAAATAGTGTTTTTTTTATTAATCTTTCAATTATGCACACACAAAAAATGGAAATTTTCTTTACCTTCTATTTTCACATTTCTAGTGAAATACTTGATTAACAAATTTACTAGTACTGGACAGATTTGTAAAACATATAGTAAAATAAAGTAATTCAATAAAACAGTTCTTCAGTTACTTCTTTTAAATGTTTGCCATTTTTAAAAGTACCATAAAAAAACAAAATCAATATATATCAGTCTTAGCACAGTTGAAAGTTAACATTTTCTTTACCTGAAAATGTATTTGAGATAAATATTCATCTCCATATACAGATAGCTATTTTCCTCTTAAAGTCAAACATGTCTGCCTGAAAGACTTGCTTGCCATCACCCTTGTGAAAACTCCCATCTAAATTTACATAAATTTGCACTACTACGAGATGATGTATCATGCAGCAAAATCCTCTACAAATAGGAGTGCGACATACCTCCTTGGTCAAATATTCCCTCTACATTAACCCATTAGAATCCTCATTCTTTGACAAGGCAATAAAGAAAGGTGCATTGGGAAGGGGAGGAGAGTATCTATCAAAAATACATTTTTAGGTAAGAAGAATGTTAACTTTGAAACAAATACCTCTGTACACAGTGAAGAAAGAGATGAGGTGTTGTAAGGTAGGTCAGCCAGGTGGGAAGTGTTGAAGGAAAGACCAACAGCAATCAATAAGTTCATCATTTCTATTGGTACACAGAAAAGGTGAAAGATCAACAGGAATAGGAGAGAAGGAAGGCTACACATTTAGAAAGTCTGGCTTGGCAGGTGATGGACTGGACAAATCCCACACGTGAAGATGAAGGGATGTCACTTTGTGATGGAATAATGATATGTGCGCGTGCGTGCGTGTGGTTGTACCAGAAAGGACAGAATGGTAGGAAATGGAAGGAGAAGCTTGGTTGAGAGATGTAGTTGTGAAAACCAAGGTTGAGCAGGTCAGTAAGAAGCCACCAATAGAGTCCCAAACCAGAGCAAGAACCTAAGGGAGATGGCAGAGAGGAAGATAAGCATAGAGAAAAAGATGAAACCAATCCTGACTGACAGCATAAAAAGCCAGAAATGAATGAAATGGAATAAGAAACCCCAGAGAAACCATAATCCCCCAAACAGATAGAACCTCCCACACAGAAGGAGAGGTACAGACATTGGTGTAAACAGAGAGGTAATCGTTGAGCATGGCTTAGATAGAAAAAAAAAAAGTTGAAAAAAATCCCTAGGAGAATGAGGTATTGGGTCAGGTAAGAAAGGATTTGAATATTTTGAAAAACCACCCTAATTGAGTGGCTCCATGAAGGAGGAGGAGAGTATGATCTGAGAATTCCTCTTGGGAGTGGGAAAGGAGAAACCAGTCATCCACCTAGTAGTTGAATTGTAGACCCAGACCATAGTGATAATGAGCGAAGGCCAATCACAGTATGATTGAATACATAAGGGGCTGACACTATTCCAAGTGGAAAGACATGGAACTGGCAAACACAGTCCCTATGGATGAATCTGAGGAAATGCAGTAAAGCCAGAGTTATCACAACATGGAGAAAGATGTCTGACACACCTACTTTGGCCATACATAGGCCAGGTTGGAAAGATCAGCGAAAAGAGAAATAATTATCTATCTGAAATTGAGGCTCAATAATTGGATGCCAATCCGCAGTCTTTGGAAGACAATGAAGAAGAGGTGACAGTAGTAAATTGGAAAGAAATCATGAACTTGTTTCTCGATCAGGTCCAAAACCACTCCTTTCAGATGTTGAAGGTAGGCTGGATCTGAAGGGTGGTAAAAGGCAATGGGTTGGGAGAGAACAGGAGGTGGAGAAGAGAAGAGAGAGACTGTGGATAAGGACTTGAATGACCCGTCTGCTGGCAGCAAAATGTGTCCATAGATTTGTAAGTTGTAACAAATGAGCTTCCACAGGTCCCAATCTAACCAAATGGTCACCAGTGGTAAGGTTAGCAGGTGAGACATTGAATGAAAGAAGGATAGGAGAAGATGGAAAGTCAGGATACTAGGACAGAACAGAAAGGAGGAGGGTGTTCATGCAAGGGACAGGTGTGGAAGAGTGAGATTAAGACAAACATAAAACTAAGGAGGAAAGGGAAGATTGATGGCAGGCGACTTCAACCTGTAATTTTAGAGAATCAGGAGCCTCACCAAAAACTTCTTGTCTGAAAAAGTGGGCAAACAAAGGAGGATGGTAAACAGACTTGCAAAAGAAAGGTATCCCTTGAAGCAATGAAAGAATCAAGTGAGAAGAGAAGTAGCAAAGGAAGTGGAATGGGCAATGGAAAAGAAGAGGAGCACTCTGATATCTTCAGAAAACTCATCAGGAGAAAAGTGAAGCGCTTATGCCATATAGTGAAAAGAGGTCTCTACAAAGGGTTGTAAGGAAAGCATGAAGTTGGGAAAATTGGGCACCAGACAGGGAGACAGCCAACAAAGAATCTACCTGCCCCCCAAAATTGGCAAAAAGATACTCCAAGTGTTGGGTGTAAAGGAAAAGGACAGTGACTATACACAAGGAGATAGGAATAAATCTGATGGGAGAGGGGGGATGAGACATGAGGTTATATGAATGAAGTTGACTGAAAAGATTTGGCATGAATGGAAATTTCATGGGAGGAGGAAAACAAAGAAATCAAGAGGAAAAGGGTTATGTAAGAGGACATAGGTTGAGGAATAGAATAAAAATTGTATATATATCTGGATAATTAGGTTCTGAAAACCCAAAGAAGGCTGGAGTTCTTATTCAGAAAGCAAATGTATGGTTGGGAGAGAAGTAGAGGGTTCTGGCAATATCATGGACACCACCACACACTGAACAATGGCTATCACGTCTTCCACAGATAAAGAATGTCCAGAATCATTGGCAATTTGATTAGTATGGGTGATATTTTCACCCTCATCAATTGAAGAAAAAGTCACAATGAACTGTGAATTCATAATGATTATGCTTAAACACAATCAAAGTAAGTTGAGAACAAAGTTCTTTGACAAGTCTCAACAAATACAAACGTGCCTCAACACGACCTTGCCAAAGAAAATAATGAGATTTTTTGCATGCAAGTGTAGAAGTAGGATTTGCCCAAAGAGGTGTATCACACTCCTAATGATGGAGGAACTTGTTGCACGATACATCATCATGTACTAGTACAAATTCATGTGAATTTAGGTGAGAGTTTTCACAAGCCTGATGCCATGCAAGTCTCTCAGATATGTGCAACTTCAAGTAAAATAGCTATCTGTGTATGGAAGCGAGTTGGTTTAAGAATAAGAAAAGATGTCCCAAGAAATCAAAATGCATAAACTAGAGCTGGGTCCACTAGTTACAAACTAGCACCAGCTGAGACAGGCTGGTCTACAAATTACAAACCAGCGCCAACTGTGAAAGGATAGTGTAAAAGCCACAAAACAGCTCCAGATGCAAAAGGCTGGTCCACCAGCTACAAACTACATCCAACTGAGATAGACAGAGTTCATCAGCATGTACCAGATTTGGCTGACCAGTTCTAACAAGCATGAACATGTATGAAAATAGAATTACTAATTGTATACCAGCTAAAACTAGTTTTAGTTATTTTAGGTATTGGAGTATGACAATAAAGAAAATGCCAATGTCAATAAAATACACCTGAGGTTCTATTTTTACTTATTATCATTGCAAGCACAGATGCTTGTAGGGGTCAGGCACCTCATATGCTTTCAACTTGCACTGAAGTGTGTTCTCACATCATGGAATATTAAGCCTTGATGAAGCATGCTATATATGTATATGAACATTTTTTGAAGTGGGAGAAGAATTACATATCTTATATAGTACAGCAGATATTCATCAACAACTTGTATGATCGTTAAATATATTTACAGAGCACCCACATGTTCTGAAACATGCATACCAATGAAATACATCTATGATTCATAAGAGTTATAGTTTTAACCATTCTTTTCAACTGAATACATACAATGAAATTTCAGTCGAGTTCTGTTACAATGAATGTGCTTTTCAAGTACATACAATACACGTTAACTGATTTAATATTTTGCTTAGAAATCTCACCTAACAGCAGATTTAGGTACAGAACCATAGATGAGAACACTAAGACCTCGGTAGAGTCCTAAGATGCCATGGTACTTAACAGTTTTGCGAATTACATCCAATATACCTGTGTAACGAGGTTTAGCTGACTTCTCATCAAGCTGAAGCTGTGTTTTTACATATTCAGTTGGAAAAGTGATACAAATTTCTATGCCTCCAGTAATTCCACCTACAGATAAAAATCAAATTTCATCTTTGTTAAAAATAATTAATTATAAACAAAAACAAATACTACAAAATTACTTTGTAAACAAACCTAAGATTTAAAAATATATCATCATTCAACATCAAAAATATAAATCCAAAAACTACAATCAAATGAAAATTTTAAGCCTTTTCTCACAGATAAATACATATCAATTGTAACATTGATACCACAGCTTAATAAATAATTTAATTTCATCAAAATTATTTTAGCCTTCAAATTATATACAATAAAGTAAGGCATATTATAAATCAAATAAGACAACTAAAATAATTGAGACATTATTAACAACTAAACTTGGGTTTACAGAGATATGGTGAATGCTGGTAAAATGGGAGATCCAAAGATTTATAAATTACATCAAAATATATTCATTATAAGGTCTTTTCTGAGCATTAACAAGGGTTTTCTTAATCTCTCCCACCAGCAAGGTCAATCATTTTGAAAGATTTACATTTATTATTTACAATAACCTTACCATTCAATTTGTCAACTTATGAATGGGCTTTTGATTATAATGCAAAATTATAAAAGGAATACATTATAATCATTTTCAATTAGTTTGGCTACGCAGTAGTTAATAAACCATGCTTTTCTATATTATTGTAATATTATAGCACTTATTCTGAACTTATTCTTTGTTCTGTATATGTGCAGGATTCATGTAATACGCAGTTGAGAAAGCCATTAAGTTGATTTTGTTCTAACTGTCTTTGTTATTCTTGAGTATATAATATCTACTCTGGTTGGGGTGGATGTTACTGTATTACTGAACTATACATAAGGTCATCAACAGCAGTATCCTTCAGTGGTCATTCAGGCAATATTTAGATGCTATGGCCACACTTATGCTGTAATGAGAATGCCAATCACATGGGTAGCAACAGTCACTGTGGGTAAATGCAAACTAAAAAATGCTAGATGAGCTCTTGTGCAACATTTACCAAATCATCATCACTCTAAAAGCAAGTCTTCTTATTACATGTACATTGTGCAGTAGCTTCTTCTCTAAAAGGCTTTTATGACATGTCAAATAAGGAAGTAATCCCCAGAATTTTAAGAAAACCTCCAGTCAAAGGAAGGAAACTAATTTTCCCAGAATTTTTTTTTCTAAATAAAACATCATCAAGCAAAATGAGACTGATACTATTAACAGAACAAATAATATTCTATATAAATATGTATCACCACTGGCAACATGATGCTTACAGAAAATATGCAAAACCATCTTTTATCAATTCAAACACACTTCACAAAAACTGCTCATCTTGTTCATACTGTAACTCTTACATGCATTAAGTTAATATCTGACACAGATTTATCTTTCTTCCCTCTTATTTTCATAATCCTAACTTAACCAATACTCAGTAATGCCAATGGCATCTAAAAGAAGTCATAATCTACAGTGTTATGTCACCAATGTTGTCAAATGGAAGGCAACAAAGTTCTTACACCTTTATGCAAAGACTATGTTGTATTTCAACCCTAGGTAAATAAGAGATTCTAGAAGGGAAAGAACAGGCTATCATCAGGCAAGGGCTTAGTCAAATCCAAATCAATAACCGAGAGCCATTTAATATTGTTAACAAAACAAATTAGTGCAAATGCAGCTTTGGATCTGTAATTTTTACTAATGTTACATTCATTACTTCTTTCTATTGTCAACAAGCATTAGATGTGCACGTACAGGTCAGCTAAAACTTGTATGTGCATTTTAAAAACCCCTGCAAAGCTTCCACATTTTGTTGCCATCCAAGTTTGCAGTCATGAAACTTTCAAATGGGACTTTGTATTTAGTATCTACACAATCTACTCCAACCTGAGAAAGCTAAAAGAATGTTGATATTATGCAAGTTAGATTTTTAAAGAAAATTAGAATATTCTCAACTGCCTAAGAATTCAGCTCCTTTGCTATGGCAACCCTAAATATGTTCAGGTGCAAAAGATTAATATGAAAGGTCACAAAATTAATGTAATGGTCTCTGTCTGCATGTAATCAAAGTGATTTAACTTGACTTCAGAGTAAATGATATGACAAACCAACCATGAAGACCAAAGAGCTTTCCAAACAAGTCAGGGATAAAGTGGTAGAGAAGCACAGATCAGGAGAAGGTTAAAAGAAGATTTCAAAGTTGCTGATTATCTCCGAGTATGGTGAAGTACACCATTAAGAAGCGGAATTTGCTTCATAACATCTAGTCACCCAGATCAGGCTGCCCTTCCAAACTAAGCAGCAGGGTAAACAGAAAAATGGTTATGGATGCCAGTGAAGACAACAGTGACTTTGAAAGATTTGCAAAGTTCCATGTCTGAGATGGGAGTCAGTGTTCATATATTGACAATATCCCGGTCCCTACACAAAGCTGGCCTGAGTGGCAAGAAAGAAGCCATTACTGAAACAGAACCATCTAAAATCTCACATGGAGTCTGCGACAAAGCATGTAAATGATACTGCAGACATGTGGCAGAAGGTTTTATGGTCAGCCAAGACAAAAATTGAGCTTTCTGATCTAAATTCCAAACGTTAAGTCTGGCACAAGCCCAACACATCACCATCCCAATGTCAAGCATGGTGGTAGCAGCACCATGATATGGGGATGTTTCTCATCAGCTGGGACTGGGAAGCTTGTCAGGATTGAGGGGAAGATGGATGGTGCAAAGTACAGGCAAATCCTAGAGGAAAACCTGCTCGATCAGACAAGAATCTAAAATGGGGTCGAAAAGTTACATTTAAGAAGGACCCAAGCACAAGGCCAAAGTCACACTGGAGTGGTTTCAAAAGAAGAAAGTGAATGTCCTGGAGTGGCCCAGTCAATGTCCTGACTTGAATCCAATAGAAAATTTATGGTGAGACTTGAAGATTGTAGTCCATCAACAATCTGCAATGAACCTCTCAGAATCAGAGCAATTTTGCCAGGAAGAATGAGCAAAAATTACACCAACCCACTGTACAAAGCTGGTAGAGACCTATCCAAAAAGATTGACAACAGTATTTGCTGCCAAAGATGCTTCCACCAAGTATTGACTTAGGGGACTGAATACTTTTGTAAATCAGAAAATTTCAATTTATATATTTTCTTTGGAGGTTTTTCTGACATTCAACCTCCTTCACACATAACAGTGTTACATTTGATCATTAGAGTTTTGAATAAAAACAAGTGCATTAAGAAAAATTGTTTACATTATTTGTATTTCATCAAAATGTGAAATTACTGGTATGGGGTGAATACTTTTGCAAGGCACTGTACATGTATACTTTGGCAACATGCATTTAGTTATAATTGCAAGCAATCAAATAATACATGTATATGATGGTCAACATAAAACATGAAAAAAAACTACTTTATTCTTTGTTATAGATACAATTTTGTTTTGAACCTATGAACTTTTATACATCAAATTAATACACACACACACACAAATTTCATGATTTTCACATTTACAGACCAACTGGTTTATTCTCATGCTTTCTGACTTTAAGACAAATTTCCCTTGCCCACTGAAGAAATTTGTCCTTTCTAGTTACCAGTGCCTCTATTATTAAGAATTTAATACATAGAAGTAGAAATAACATACTGTATTATCTCAAGTATGAGACTTAAATACAAGCAAAATGAATTTTTACAAAATAGTAATGTTGATAAAATAAGTACAAATTTCTTGAATTTCTTCATATACCAAATGATAAAAAATAAGCTTTCATTTTATCAATACAAATATAATTCACAAGTGGAGAAAAAAAAATCAGACAAAACTTAGGAACAAGCATTTACTGTGACCAAAATATTAACCCTACATAAAACTAAAGTAAGTCTAGAGTAGAGTTAAGCAGTTAGTGGAATTTGTTGAACATTAATCTGTTATTCTCACATCAAACTATTCTTCTTATTTTAAGCATTTTGTTTGGTTATTTTATTTTTCAAAGATAGTCTCAACTACCCTTCATTTAATATGATAGATATATTCAGTTACAACAATTTAAGATTTTGTTAATTTTTAATTCAAAATTGTTGTAAATAAAAATGTATCATATACACAAGTAGTACAACACCTCTGACAAGCCATTCCATGGGTTTCTACATACAACATTTCACAAGACCATTCTACTGAAACTAACTAAATTAATTTTTGGTTAATTTTAACTGTCCTTAGGTTTTGTGTGATAAAATTAATAAAGATTCATGTCACAGTGTGTGATAGGTAACTTATAATTTAGTGAAAAAAAATTAACTATGATCCCAGAAAAACAAAGACAGTAGAATGCTTGCAATTTGAGAACAAAACATGTGATGACACTATACGAGTTCTTTGCAGATTAAAATGATGTATTAAGAGGAAATAAATGTTTTATAGGAAACAGTAAAAACTTGGTAATACCGAAAAATCATTTATTACCACTGATTATAAATTTATTCGAATTCCATCTTCAGCATGAGAAAATTAACACGCCTAGAGCTTCGGTAACTATACTGTTCATGCCTTGAAATGAACCTTCCACACAACACGGGTAAAATAAAAAGATTTTCAAATGAATCAGATAATGTGTCGGATCATTCAACCCAAACAAGATGCCTCCTAATGGAGAAGGAAATTTGCAGCTGTAGATGCTTCTTTGGATGGAGCAAGGAGTCAGTCATCCACCTAGTAGTGGAAATAGACAAATAAGGAAGGTATCCTCTGTACAAATCCTCTCATAACCCAATTGAAAACATATGGGGCTACTGCAATCTTAAAGGAATAGACCTGGAAATGAAAAAAACTCTGATCATTGTTCAAGAACCAGAGAAACAACTGGAATATAAAACCAAAATAAGGAGAAAATCATACAAAACATTAACCATTATCTACAGCCCAGGAAAGAACACCCACATCAGCCTGAAAAATCATCCATATTTAAATCAAAGGTTGACAAGAAATTGGTTCAAGGGTGAAAGATCTATGACAGGTCCCCAATCTCCTCTCTT